TATATATATATAAATATTATATAAACATATTTTAATTATCAGTGATATCAAATTATTATAAACGTATGTATATAATAAATACGTTTCTTTTTGTTGAATTTATTTTTAAGTAATATTCAACCTAATTATTATTATTATTATTATTGTTATTTAAAAGTAAGTTTTAGAGTCAGACGTTGTTTGGGATCGATAAATGTATTTTACCTAATACATCTCAATTAATTTCGTGTGCATTCAACCTTGATTTTACTTGATCGTAGTTGTAACAGTAGTAGTATGGACAGGTGGAGGGGAGAGGGGATAGTTGGATATTAATTTTGTCGATATTAATTATTTCACATAGTTCGTATTACATGTAACACATGGCTAGATTGAAATCATTACGCGTTTATGGTCATTTCAAAAATCGATAATTTTATTAATCAATTTAATGTCATATAAGAAAAAAAAAAACATTAAAAAAGTTTTGGAAATATGTAATGAAATCATTATAATTATATTCTTTGATCATTTTTATAATTTGTTGAAGTGAAAACTTTAAGTTAGTTCTTTGACTGGCCGCTAGATTGTCCACGTTTCTCACAAGCAAAGCCTAATTCTTAGCCTCTACCCTCCATAAATTGTTTTACTTCTGATACTTTGAATTTAACTCATTTTTTCGAAGATTCTTTTGGTTTTGAGAAGGTTTGATCTGTACACACATATTTTGTATTTTTTTTTTTCAATACTTACCCAGACCAAATCCAACAACGTGAAGAAAAGCAGTGGTGTTTTGTTTTTCAGCTCTTGTATTAGCTTCGAGTAATATTATTTCAACGGAAAGTAATGTTCTTTTCATGTAATTTTCTATATCAAAAACTGTCTGACTTGATAATGATAAATATCTTTTATTGTCTTTTGATTTGATACGTTTTACTGTTTCCTCGTAAAGAGGATTATAAATTTCACCGTAAAAATTTGCCCATATTATTCGTAGACCACGTTTCTCTTGCGTAGTACCTTCAACGTTTGGACCATATCTGTATCAAATCAAAATAATACTTTTATTTTTATGTTTTATTATTTTTATATAATTTAAACAAATACATTTAACTGTATAAATTATTGTAATACTTGTATCTTGAAAATTGCATCATAAAATATTACATAAAACAATTATACAAAGCTTTTTAACATTTTGCTTTTTATTTAATGAAGTTTTTTTTGTATTTTCTATAATTTTGTTCAATTTAGTTTATAGGTTAGTTTTTTTCTCGCGTTTATTTTGTATTTTTTATCGCTAATTCAAGGTTTCTTTTTATTTATAGGTTATCTAGGTCTTTAGATACTGTTAGTTTTCAGTAGATGACGCCATATTGCAATTCAATTTTTTCAGGTTTTTTTTTAGAGTAATAGTTAGACATAAGCTAACCTTTATTTTTATATTTTTTTGTGGTATTATTATTCTATGTGTTGTTATAATTTACTAAATAATTTAGAGTTAAATTAAATCAACTATTTTTCAAAGTCTCTTGGCTCTGTTAGCATTTAATAGATGGCTCTGTATTACAATTCAATTTTTTCAGGTTTTTTTCAGAGTTACGTACGGCATAACTAACTTTACTTTTTATATTTTATCGGAGTATTATTATTTTATGTGTTGTTATAATTTATTAAATAATTTAGAATGAACATAAATCAACGTTTTATCTAAGTCTTTAGGCTCTGTTAGCATTCAATAGATGGCTCTGTATTACAATTCAATTTTTTCAGGTTTTTTTCAGAGTTACGTACGACATAATTAACTTTACTTTTTATATTTTTTGTGGTATTATTATTTTGTGTGTTGTTATAATTTACTTAATAGTTTAGAAATTAATTGAATCAACATTTTATCTAAGTCTGTAGGTACTGTAATTTTTCGATAGATGGCGACGTTGTATTGCAATTCAACTTTTTCAGGTTTTTTTTTTAGATTTACGTACGACACAACTAACCTTACTTTTTATATTTTTTTTTGTATTCAATTGTAATGATGGTAATTTCCAATTTTTATTGATTACAATGTCATGTTCATTTATTTCATTTCATTTATTTTTTCAAATTATATTAAAAAGATAAAATAATCAAATAAATTATTTCATTTTGATACTCACCCATTTTCGATAGTATTTTGCGAAGGTGTGATTAATATGTCCTGATATTCCATAACTCTTGGTCTCTCGAATCTATTGAAATAAAAAAACACATTTACCACCAAAATTGTTGATAACAAAAAAATAAAAAAGAAAAGAAAAGAAAAAAAGAATTCGAAATAAAACTGAAACGTTGATTTTGTTTTTCTTAAAAACATTTGCGGTTGAGTTGTTCAACCAAAGTTATCGTAACTTTCTTTTTTCCCTAGACAAAATGGTATAAAGGGAAAGAAATAAAAGGGGAATCGTAGGGAAAAAGAGAAAGAGAAAGAGAAAGAAAAGAAAAGAAAAGAAAAGAAAAGAAAACAAGGGTCAATACCACCTTCGAGGCTAATTTTTCAAGTAGTGTACTTTCGTGATTAATTGTAGGAGTTAGGTTGTAGGACAAACACGAACCTTGCTCCCACGACACCCATAATAACGCCTCTGGGTTGGATGGAATCAGGATCTTTTGTTACAATGCCATTATTATTTCGGGAACCATCGTTTATGAATTCCGTGTGCGATGAAACAACCATCATTGAAGACAATTTGATTTCGTCGTATGACAAACATTTCGTCAACACCTGTAACAATTAATATTACATATTGTTTTCCTTCTTAAAGGGAAGGGAACATTTTTTTTTTTTAAGTGTGAGCATCTTATAAATTTTAATATATATATATACAGAATCTTTTATGTATCACTTGATGTGTCATATAAGTTTTGTATATAACATTTCAATATATTTATATAATATAATAATTATAATATAAATATTTAGGTTGCTAATATAGTTTGTGGACCACCCTATATATTAATTTTAATATATAAAATTAATTATTATATTATATTAAAATTAATTATAATGATATTAATTAATTTTATATATTATAATTTATATGTTACAAATAATATATTAATATATTATTTATTAATTAATATATATAACAAATTAAAAATTATGTATCTTTTGGTGTCATATAAATTTTCTATATAACATTTTGTTATATTATAACAAATAATTCAAATATTTAGATACTAATATAGTTTTTGGACCACCCTATATGTATAGGGTTACTTTAGGGTTGTGTCAGGTCAATATAATATATTTAAATATTTAAATAATTAAATGAAATATATAATTACATAAAATGTTTGTTTACTAACCAAAGGTTCCTTTTCGTAATCGGTTCCAACACTCTCCCAACCATTAACACCAGTTTTTCCATCGATTAGTTTATAATGATCTTGAGAATCAAAGAATGTGACAGCCCTTTTTTCAAGTAATCGTTGAATAAATTGTATAAGACCCATTTCTTTGTATAATGCCCTTTCTATCGCACTGCCATATTGTCTTTTGTGTTTCAACCATCTTGCTATTAGTGGTAACATTGCTTCGTGTATCAATGGGTATGCTGAATTTGCATTTAACTGAAAATTATTTTATTATAATATAATTATTTAATCAACAATTATAATAATAATAATTATTATTATTAATTATTAAAATAATGGACGACATGTTGAACAATTAAAAAATTGATTAAACCTAACCTACATTTTATTACAATTTTGGGTTTTAAGGTTTTTCGTTTCTTATTTTCACTTGCATTTAACTGAAAATTATTTTGTTGTAATATAATTAATTAATCAACAATTTTAACATATTTTAAAATTACAAATTTATTAAACTTAACCTACATTTAATTACAATTTTGGGTTTTAAGGATTTTTTTATTTTTTATTTTGATTTGAATTTAATTTAAAATTATTTTGTTGTAATATAATTAATTAATCAACAATTTTAACATATTTTAAAATTACAAATTAATTAAACCTAACCTACATTTAATTA